CAGCCTACCCTCCTCCACCGCATCCCGCCGGCAATCCTTTCCCCAGAATTCGTGGAGAATGTTCTGGGTCGACTCTTCGCAGCTCATTCTAATGGTCTAAAAGCCTTGGAGTTTTTCAATTTCACCGTCCGCCATTCCCTGGATGCTCCCAGTATCGATGCTTTTGAGAAGACCCTCCACATCCTCGCACGGATGCGTTACTTCGACAAAGCTTGGGACTTGATGGCTGAAATCCGGCGAAAACACCCGTCCTTGCTCACCCTTAAAGCAATGAGCATCGTGCTATCGAAAATTGCGAAATTCCAATCTTATGAAGAAACCCTTGAAGCGTTTAAGAAGATGGAGACTGATATCTTTGTTGGGAGGGAGTTTGGTACCGACGAGTTCAACGTTCTGCTTCGAGCATTTTGCTCACAGAGGGAGATGAAAGAGGCACGATCTGTATTCCATAAGATGCATTCTCGATTCGCTGCCGATTCGAAAACCATGAACATACTTCTTCTGGGATTCAAGGAATCGGGCGATATTACTGCCATGGAATTGTTTTACCATGAAATGGTTCGAAGAGGATTCAAACCCAATAGTGTCACGTATAACGTCAGAATTGATACTTACTGTAAGAAGAGAAGATTTGGTGATGCGCTGAGAGTTTTCGAAGAAATGGAGAAGGTGAATTGCTTGCCTACAATGGAAACCATCACAACTTTGATCCACGGTGCAGGGGTTGCTCGTAATACACAGAAGGCAAGGCAGATGTTCGATGAAATTCCTAAGAGAAACCTGCAACCTGATATTGGAGCTTATAATGCTTTGATCAGTTCACTTGTAAAATCCAGAGATATAGACTCTGCAATTAAGCTGATGGATGAGATGGAGGAGAAACAAATTGGGCATGACAGTGTGACTTATCACACAATGTTTTTAGGAATGATGAAGATAAGAGGCATTGAGGGTGTCTGTGAGCTCTATAACAGGATGATAGAAGCAAATTTCATTCCAAAGACACGAACTGTTGTGATGCTAATGAAATTCTTCTGTGAAAACCGACGGGTTGATTCAGGTTTGAACCTGTGGAGGTACCTGGTGGAGAAAGGGTGCTGTCCTCATACTCATGCATTGGATCTTCTGGCAATAGGATTGTGCTCCAGGGGGCGGTGGCAGGAAGCTTTTGAATGCTCCAAGCAGATGTTGGAGAGAGGGAGGTATGTGAGTGAAGCAGCACACCGCATGTTGCAGAGATTTTTAAGGCAGTTTAATGAAGTGGAGAAGATAAGGGAGCTGGACAGGATGATAACAAAACTGCAATCTGCTTTGCCTCCATCAGGAGAGCAAGCTATTGATACCAGTACGTTACGCCAACATAAAATTGTTCTTTCCAAAATATTTTGATATGGAACACCTTTCTATCTCAATTTTGTGCCAAAGTCTAACGTATTTGATATTTGCGAACTTAGCTGCGTTTCTAAAAAAAAAAACTCTGTTTAATTTTGTGGAGTAGAGCAAATGGCCACAAGAAATAACAATTCTAATAGTTACTTGTTTGCTTGTAGTTCCGCAACACAAAAAGTAGCTATGGTACAAGACCAAAGGAGCATAAGCTCCCTAGAAAACATTACCCAGTAAGAACTGGGGAGAAATAGGGAGCAGGGGAAAAGATACCAAGTAGTTTCATGATCAATCCATCTACTGTCAAGTATGGCAAAGTTGGTCAATTATCTGAAATTGAGTTTTCCTCCCTCCAGTAAATTTATAGTTTTAACTAAAAACCCATTTCAAATAATTGATCTCTCTGTCTATCATCCTGTAATTCTATCTGAACCACCATCGCTGAATAGCAGAAATTGGTGAGTTCAAAAATGGTGCATAACGCTGCACAAATGGATTGACCGTCCTCCCAATCTTGGTCCACACGCTTTGATGGTAGCCAGCAGTAGCCGGGGCATGATACATAAGCTTCAAAAGCTGCAAGAGAGAAAACAAGATTACCTATATTTATCTGTCAAGAAACAATCAAAATTAAAAAGTATCATAATGATTTGTTTTTTCCTTTTTCCTTCTATTTTGGAAGGAGGAGAGGAGAAGGGTGTTTACTGCACAACTAAAACACTTGTGTTGCAGTTGAGCATTCACTTATAATATGAATTCAAAGCTCTATAAAGGATTAATTTGTCTTCCAAATAAATTAAAGGAGTACAAACCAGCTTCTATACAAAATTATCCACATCCCTTGTCCAAGAGAGAAAAAAATAGGAAAAAGGGTCCTAGTAAAGGTCATGGATTGACATTTTGGAAGTGACAATTAACTAGAGAAAAGGCCAAGGTTCTTTTTGATTTGAAATCATATAAAAATTGACACTGGAAATGAATTAATAATGTGCATTGCAATTCTATATGAATTTTGGAATGAGAATCAAATGCAAAATGATTAGAACAAAATGTAGATGCAACATCCTAAAATAAATAGTGCAGCCATGAATGCAACCATGAATGCATCCATGCTCCTAATACCAGCCCATCGGCCATCACATTATCCATAAGAATATGTTCACCTGGGTCCTTAACCCAATGTAAGGAACACCTTCCCCCACCCCACAACCACCCCAACAAAAAATAAAATAAAATAAAATAAGAATGCTAAATTGATAATGATTGGAACAAAGTTAAACAACAAAGAAGCATTTCCCTACCTGCCAGTACATGAATGTTTGTATGATGTTACGCTGCCACCTGCATAGATTAAATAAAATTAAAAGAATTAGAACAGATGGAGAAGGTGAGATTCATGAGCTTGACATGGTTGATGAAAAAGAAAACTAAAAAAATTAGAGAAACTAACGAGAATAAGGAAATAATTAGAAGAAAGCCAAGTCCAATCTCAGAATGTGAAGAGAGAATGCTTAGGGTAGTGATGTTTGACTCCACCCACACACAAGGGTCTTCCAAGTATTTCCTGTTCGCATGAAGGAGAAACCATTAATAAAGAACTTAAAAAGTGAAATGTGTAAGATATAATTACATGTTAATCTATGTGTGCACTAGCATTTATGAACTACTATGGATATGCTTAGAGCATGCACAAGCAAGCACACAGGGAAACATTTTATCTAATTCTAAGATGAACGCACAAACCAGACAAATTAGATTAAACTATCATAAGACACAGCTCCCACAAAGTAAAATATAGCCAAGTCTCTTCCCCATCAGATCTTATCATAAATTACTAGTCATCAGATCTTAGGAAGTTGGGAGCATGGATGTTCAATTATCTTTATAAAGATGCCAGTCAATTTATATAACTGAGATCATAATACCTGTACAAGGTGGAACGACTGAAATTGCGCCTCAAGAACTTTGCAGCATGTTCAAGTGCTCGGCATAAAATGGGAATCAAAGCAACTGCAAGGAAAATCCATATCAGTTCTTCATAGTTTTACAAGAGAGGGCATACAGATTAGCATAGATCTGCTGATATGAGGAGCAGAATTAGCTAAAATAATTTAAAGGTAAAACTTCTTACGTTTAAGGCCAAGATGTGAAGTGACAAACGTAAGGCAGTAGATGAAGTGGATAAAATCCTTGGTCGCAATGATGGACTGAAAATACACTTGAATAGCTGGCAAGTTCCATGCCCGGGGTGTCTGGAAAACATAGAACTGGTCAACGGAAGAACTACAGCATAACAAGTCCAGCAGTTGATAAGACAGTGTACAATAAAGTTTACCCCATGTAGTGAGTACAAAGAGTATAGAGAGGAACATGCACTGCCTATGAAGGCCAGCCTATAAGCCCTACTTGAGAGACTTCTAGGTATGAGTGGAAACATAGCAAGCACAGCCACAATGAATACCTGCAGGTAATAATGGAAACAAGCAGCCTTAACAAACTTATACTGAAATATGGTGAGAAAGTAAATTAACTAAATAAATAATAAGTAGAAAGATAACTGAATGGCAAATGCATGAAGCAAGATTAGTTTGTGGTCACACCAAAGAGAGACATAATGTCATCATCCTCATGGATATTAAGCAGAACACTAAGGTTAAACATAAATTTCAGTAACACAGTTTCCGCCAATTGCTTCCCCTTCCACAAAATTTTAAGAAAAACTAAAAAGGAGAAAGAAAGAGAAGGATTCAAACTATTATTATAATGGAATGCAATTTATCCCAACAACCAAGTTTTGCCAAATTGTTGGAAGATCGTGATTGCCTGACTCAGGCAAAGGCAAAATTGATTTAAAATAAAGACAAAATAAGAACTGTTTCCCATGAAACTCTTAAAACACGTGTATGCATTTTACATTGAGTTTTAGGGCGATACAATACCCAAGCATTGACAGAAAATTGTATTGTTTTTCGATCCCAACGCAGAGAAGTTTGATTTGAATTTGAGCCTGCAGTGGCCGATGTCCCCGAACTTCTTGTAGACGACCCTACAAAATATATATGGATTAATTTCAACAAAAGCAGCGTGTCTCTCCCTATGGTAGAAAATGAACTAGTCTTCTCACAGCTCATGCCAATAAACACAAGTTATCATTTCTTTCTCAGCTTCTCTAACATTAGTAGCACTGAGGACTTTCAACCTGAGCTACGTGGTCGAGCTTGATCATTTGTGGCAGCTGAGGCTGAGGCAGATTGTTTTGCCGGTTGAGATGAACTACTTGATGGCATAGCCTCAACCACAAGATCTGCATCCTGTTTATCAAAATTTCCCAGAATGTTTATCATGGCGAAACAGAAAAGAAAATTGTCTGGAATAGGCCGAATCAAAACACAGATGAGAGTTGACATGTTTTCATTCCGAAGCAAGTATCGAGGAAAAACGAAGTATATGAGTAAGTGGGTGGACTGAAGCGACAAAACCCCAGATTCAGATTGGAAATTCTGAGGGAGCAATCCTAAGAAAGCGTATCAAAACAATGAAAGAAACAAAACCCAGATGGAATTGAAATATCTAAACTCCAATAAAATGGATACAATTACGAAGACAAGTTTTGCAATTTAAAAAGGAAACGTACGATGTATCGCTGGTAGAACTTGCGCTTGAAGTGATCAACGACGTCGGAACGGGAGGCCATGTGGGGTGGAATCAAGATGTTAGACCAGTAGTCCGCCCATCGCGGGTCGTTCTCGTAGTCGTATGCCGCCGCCGCAATCCTCTTCAGCTTCTGTGGATCCTCTCTCTCTTCTCCCATATTCGTTATCTATGAATGACGGCGAGAGTGTCTGCACAGTTTCCTCGGTTGATGAGGAAGAAGACGAAAAAGAGATGGAAATGATCAGGTAGCTTCCGGGGAAGAGAGAAAACGACGTAGTTTTGTAGGAGTTTCTTCTATAGAGTTGAATCGCTGAAATGAAGTTGGGGGAATCAGATATGGTGGTTGGGCTTAAGGCCTTTATCTCGCAAGCCCATGGGCCATCATTTAGGCTCAACAATCGGATGCAACCACATGGGCAAACACCAAAAGTAGAATTAATTAAATAAATTAAAGTCTCATTCGCATATAACAAAATAAGTCATCTTCAATTTTTGCTTTGTTTAGATGATCAGAACGTCTTCTTCTAAGGTTGCGTTTACAATCTAACGTTGTGTTTATTTATCAATAAATATTGTTTCATAGATTAGATTTAAAGTTTAAAATTTAAAATCAACATTTAAAAAAATTAATTTATACAAATATACTAGAAAGTGCAAATTTAAAATTATTTTAAAATACGTAAAAATTAAATTAATTTAAAAATACCCTAATAATAAATATTAAAGAGTTCCGCTCTTGGTCATGAGAAGTGTTAATCACTTTCAATTTTTTTTTAATTAAATTGAAGTCCCATGCCAGTCACACATGTAACCAAAAAAAAAATTTTCCTTCAATTTTTGTTT